TGTACCATTTTTCCCCCACCCCACCCCATGTCACCCGAACAAAGTCAAGTTCAGAAACTGGCCCGGGTTCAGAAACTAGGGTTCCGAAACTAAAGCCACGGGTTCAGAAACTACAGTTCAGAAAGTGGTTTTGTCGGGTTCAGCAACTCCTTTTTCGGGCTCAGACACTTTTTTGGTTGGTTTCAGAAACTAGTTTCCAACTCAGAGACCCATTTTTCTCTTCGGGCCCACTGATTGCTTCAGGTATGTGGGGGTGGGTGGGGTGATATTGACGTAATGTTTATGTGAGCAAACCTTTCTTAGCAGCCTGAAAGCGCTTCAAGTTGAGGAGTTGTTGAGGGAACGAACTTGGGGAGGTGCAGAAGCCAACATTGTATAAAAACAGAAGATAAGACCATCCAGATTTGGAATTTGTCAGGAACCTAGGGTGCCCAGTTTCCGGAATCCACGTTTCTAGTTTCCGAACTCCACGTTCCTAGTTTCTGAACCCGACCTTTTAGTTTCCGAGCCGGACGCTGACCCATCACACCCCACCCATCTTCCAACACGTACATGTGGCACCTTCTCTGAAGAGTATCCAAACCACTCCCAAAGTTTAAAGAAAGGAAACATAATTAGAAACTAGACGACAGGGTGGCCCCAAAGCATAAGAGATGACGCAAGGTAACGATGATGATGGTGATGATGATGATGATGACGATGATGATGACGGCCTTCATGATGATGGCGACAATATTGATGATGATCACAATGATGCTACTGTCAAGACAAAGTAGAGTGATAGTCGGAAGATGTACCTGTGGCGGGCTCATGTACAACACTCTTGCAGGGACACCCTTGTGTAGGACAGTGTTGTGGGCCGGGACACCCTTGTGGGACACTCTTGACAGACATTCTTGTAGGACACTGTCGTGCCCGCGCAAAACCGCATGGTACGGAGACGTAGCAGACGTAACTTCACCCCACTATGTGCCACTGACTAGATACAACAATGCAACACCAAGCCTCGTTGACTTCTCCCACTCGCCAGACACCCCAGTTCCGAGCTCGAGCTCCCAGAAGCTGCTTCCCGTACTACATCTGTACTACACTGAGGCCACAGCTCCCAGAACACTTGAACTACAAAGTTGCCAGCGCTATAATTTGCACTACAAAGTTGCCAGTTTTGAGGCCACTGCCTGTACTACATATGTAGTATACAGTTCCCATTTCTAGACGCCTACTACTACGCACTTTGAGTTTTTGGCAATTTTTGCAACAGTTACAATCTTTGGCAACTTCCACCTTGATTTTCCACGACAGTTGCACACTCACACAGACACACACGCACTCTCCGTAAAGGCTTCCCACCGACGTGAACGAAAATTCGCGTTCAGCGTCACGTTTGAGCACTCGACGCACAATCTCCGCAGAGGGTCGGCCCAGCCACACGCAGATGGTCGGCCCAGGATCGCGTGAATTCGTAAGCATCGGCCAGCCCGGAGCCTTGTAAGAGAAGATTAGAAAGATGTCGAAGTTGTAGCTGTGTAGCTGAGTTTTTTAGGTGTCTTCACCTGTATCCCTACACCCGCATCTCAGCACCTGTGCCCGAACACCTGTATCTATATAAACACCTGTATCAACACACCTGGATCTGGAAACCAAACACCAGTATTTCTGTAGGTGTGTTAAAACAGGGCATCACGCGCGTCTTTACACCGTCATAGTGATGATGTCATATGATGATGAAGATGAAGATGAACATGTTGATGATGATCATGATGATGATGTAATATGATGATGAAGATGAACATGTTGATGATGATCATGATGATGATTATGAAGATTAATGATTGGACAATTGAAATTGGCAGCTTTTCTTTACGGAGAGGATTTCGCAAGTGCTTTCGGAAAAAGCAACCGCGGCTGGTCCACACGACGTGGCGAAAGAAACTGCTCACATTCAAAGAAAACCCGACTGCGCAAGAACCGCTCCATGCACTTGCGCAAGCAAGTTCCGTCCCGTTTCCGACTGCAAACACGTTGAAGGCCAGGCACCTGGAACCGGACACACTTAGAAGGAAACCCACAAGAACGAAAGTCGGTGTTCCACAGTTGTGCCTTAGACCAGCCTCACTGCGTTGGACGACCTGTCAAAAACCTCGGAATGGCCCCGTGCAAACAGAAAGCGGAGAGAACCTGAAAAACAATATATGGTTTAATCATGTAGGGACATTAGCCTCGGTGACTACTGAGTCTTGGATTAATTTCTTTGGATTAACTTTTCTCGATGGTAGTTTTTCGTTCAAACATTCTGGAACAAAGATCCTACTATCACAATGACAATAACCACAATCAATCACAATATATGATATTATCATTATTATATGATACTATATGATACTATAGTGAAAGAATATGATCACACGGATGCCTAATGTATACTTAGAAGAAGGAAATTGTTTTCAGGGAAACCATGTCGCACGTACCACCGGCTGGTGAGCCTACTGCATGTGGCATCGCTCGATGTCCGGGCGTACCCCGGGATTAATTACAACCCCATCCAGACTCAACATCCTCCAGATTAGTTTTCTGAAAACGCTCTGGAGGTAGTCAGATTATTTTAAAAACTAATCCAGGGGTACCCCCCTCTACTCTCCATCTTGGAAGGGTACATGTTGATATAATCACATCACGACTTCTCGCAAGTTCGTTCAGATGATCAGTCCAAGAATCCTCCTCTGTGACCTAGCTTCGTTGAATTGGGTCAGTCACAGAGTAGACCGTTGGGTACAGGGCTTGACACAACCACATACAACTGTCACAACCAAAGATATCAGAGCTCCGTTCTTCAATCAAGTTCATGAATGGATGGTTGTTTTGCGTGCCAAAACGGTTCCCGAATCGAGGCAACGTTGCAAGTTTGGCCATCGAAGTGGCCGTTTTCGCAGCAGCGCTGGTCATCATCTGTTGCCTCACGGGATTCGACTTGCTTTACTTCGCAGGACTGTATATTCCCGGCGTTGTTCTTCAATCGACTTTTCTGGTTTGTCCCAAGAACTGGGTATACGGTATGATACTGTCAGAGCGCTCGTTGGTCAAACGCTTTGCTGAGCGCCGCGCTGCACCGCGCTGCGCCCAACTCGGCAGGAGTCGTGCTGAAGGAGAACTACTCCTATTGGGTCCTCTCAATGGCGACCTGTTGCCTTGCCTGGCTGTTCGTTTTGGTGAACCATGGTGGCCACAATTTGAAGCAAATTCAAAGTTGGCTTTCTCCTTAGCACAGGGGTCCTGGTGTTTAACCTTGTGCTTGGCAATATTGAACCATCGCAGCGTCATGTCACGGATAGCTGTTGCGATGTAGCCTCAACTTTGGAACCCTGTATGCAACACCTCTGACGGTGTTGCGTTTTTGCTGTTTTTGGACGATATTTTCTTCGCACATCACACAACCCTCTGAAGCAACACCAAAGGTGGCCTTCAGGGGAAATTGGGGAATTCCTGCGGGGTGGGCTCCACGTTACATCAGAGTGCGGTTGTTGATGTTCCAAAGCAAGAAGAATGGTTTCGAAAGCAAGGGTGACGCCACCGACTTGTCTCGAGTGGAGCCGAGACGCTTGGGCTCATGGACCAAAAGACCCTTGCGTCGCCAGCAGCCATCCCCTACACTGTCGCTTTGACAGAAAGCTCCCGCTAACCTGAACCTGCACCTAGCTGGTCACATCATGTGACCCGAAAAAGACCAATGCAACCTAGGTCCAGTTGATGTTTCTTATTTTGTGAGCCAATTTCATTCAATTGCTTCTTTGCTTCACTTGGCTGATCTGGCAGCTATCTGTTGAAAGTTCCACCTGTGTGCTCATTGCTGGTTCCTCCAATCAAAGCCGACTAAGATTCTCATGTTTAACGGGTCCAATATTGACATCGGACAGATGTAGAGCTGGACGCACGCCAGCTTTAGTTGGCTTGTCCACTTGGCAGGCCTAGAAGCAAAGTGCCGAAACTTTAGGGTGTAGGCGATTTTCCCCTCCGCACAGCGCTGCACCATTCTGCCAACCACTTCGCTCCACCGATCAGCCAGTAAAGCGGGTTTAGTATCCCATAAAACATACCATTCAAGCTGGCTAGAACGTGTTTGGGCTCGACTTGAGTCGTGCCGAAAGATAACGGTCCTATTGGGTACTCTCAATGGCGACCTGTTGCCTTGCCTGGCTGTTCGCTTTGGCGCGCCATGGTGGCAGCCACAACTTAAAGCTAATTCAAAGTTGGCTTTCCCCTTAGCACAGGGGTCCTGGTGTTTAACCTTGTGCTTGGCAATATTGAACCATCGCAGCGTCATGTCACGGATAGCTGTTGCGATGTAGCCTCAACTTTGGAACCCTGTATGCAACACCTCTGACGGTGTTGCGTTTTTGCTGTTTTTGGACGATGGCTTCGTCGCACATCACACAACCCTCTGAAGCAA